TCAGGGGTGGGTTCTGTCTCGGACCTGAAGGGTCAGGGTCGCTAGGAGATGGCCGCGAAGTTTGGCTTTCGGAGTTGGCTGTCAATCTTCACAGGCTCGCAGGAGGAGGAGGTGAGCCTCTTTCCACTGGCGCGATTCATCAGCTCTGGACAAAGAGGAGTGGATTTCAGGAGGGGCAGCCGGAGAGGGGCGAGCGAATGAAATCTGCCAGGAGTCAGAGAAAGAGAGTGCGTGGGAGGGCATGCTCACCGGAAATCATCCCATTGCTGGGTGAGACCAAGTCAGATAGGAAGGGATAACTGCATTGAATTGAGCGTGCTGGTGACTGACGCAGGACACGTGTCAGGGAGGGTTGGTGTGGGAGGAGAGCTGTTTGTTCCTTAGGTAAACGGGACAGGACCACCACCTTTCATGGCTCAAGGACAAGGAAGGATGCTGACAGCTCATCCTGATGAGCTGATGGAAGTGCCTGCTGGCCCGTCTCTCCCTCCGCCTGAGATAAAACGGATGGTTGGCCTCCTGCTCTCTGGCAAAAGCTGCAGAAAGCAGCCGCCTGCAAACGTATCAGTTTCTTCACTTCCCCAAGCCTCATCCTGTCCTGTCTTTGAACCACCTGACCTAATGAGTTCATGCTTCTTTGTACACCTCAAGAAATTACAAACTGCCTTTAGTGTAATCCTGGCACAAGCATGCTAAAGACTCCATAGGCCTTCTGGTAATAGAGTTCTGGACCCAGGAGTGTCTTACTGCAAGGACCTCGGTGCCTTCACAGTTGTCTGTCTTTCGGGTATAAGTCTTCTCCTTGCAGATGGTATCCTCTAGAACCCGTTCGATTTGTAAGATAAGAGCTGGCCTCCACAGGATCTTACAGGTTGCAGCAGAAGCTAGCTGAAGCTGTACCATTCAGGGCAAAGGAGTGCGTCCGTAGAAATAGGACATGTCAATGTCACAAACTTGGCCGTGAACGGGAGCACAGGGACAGCAGATCGGGACTAGGGGAGGAATTCGGTGTAAGGGGATTCGTCATCTTTTCTAAGATGAGAGAAGCAAGAGATAGACCAGAGGGTCAGTGCCAAGGAGACTCTCGCTAGACCACAGGGGGTTGGGAGGGGCCTGTTGGATGGATCCAGGGCTGAGGTTAGGTTTTTCCAGGCAGGCAGCCACTAGAGGACAAAGAGACAAAGGGATTTGGGGACAGCAAAGGTGATGGAGCTGGGGGTTTAAGAAAGGGAGTGAGTGGTTGGTAAAAGGCCCTGGTGGTAGGATTGGGAGGAAGCACTCGGCTCAAAGCTGGGGTTACGAATTGTTAGAATGGGAATCAAAGGAAAGCGGACGCAGAGCGTGGGTTTCCATGAACAGGTTTTATTAGAGTTAAGGACCTTCCCCGGGGGATTCAGAATGGAATGAGAGTCAAGGGGCAGGATGAGGGGAGATCGGAAGACAGAGTGAAGAGAGAATAGTCAAAAGAAAGGGAGAGCCAGAGAGAGGAAGAGACCGAGGGGCAGACATGCGGCCGCATGAGAAGGTGAAGGAAGTCAGACAGAGAGAGGGAACAAAGGAGTCCCGTGTTCATAAACTTCGGGGACAGAAATAAATTATGTCTAAAAGGAGCCCATGATTCCCCCCATTGGCTGTGGCACCAGCTGAACTGGGAAGAGAGGGAGGAAGGTTTCTGTGAGGCGTCTTGAGAAGGTGAGGTGTCATGGGGATGGAGAAGGGGTCAGAGACGCTGGCTGTGGCCGAGATGAGAGCCGTAGGGTTCCTGCAGGACCCTTTCCTGGTAAAGCAGGAGATGGGAATGATCGCACAAGCTCCAAGCTCACTGCCATCAAGTCCTTTCCGACTGACGGGGAGTCCAGGTGACCCTGTAGGGCCGGGTTGACATTGTCAACCTTACAGACGTAGGTCTCATCTTTCTCCTGCTGAGTGGCTGGTGGTCTCAAACTGCTGTTCTTGAGGCTAGTAGCCAACACCTACCTGTCTGGATGGAGTCAGGTGGGCGAATTGAAGGACCCCCTTCAAAGCAGAAAACTGGCCAGGCCAAATGGAGCCAAGACGGAACAACCCGGCTCAAGTTCCGGTACACAGAGCACCGCAAGAAGCTGACAAACTGTTCTTGGGACAGGACAGCTTGCAACACCTGCCGCCTCGGACGGTTTCCCCACCCCCAGGCACCTTCTTTTAAAAACCCTGCACCCTGACCACCAGCGCAACTTCCCTAGGCTACTTGCTAGCCCATGGAACCTGGTCCGAGAGCTTCCCTCTAATAAAGCTATTTCTGTGTCTGCTCTCCCTTTGTCCTGTCAGTTATGTTTGTCTGCCTCCTTGTGCCTCAGTTTACCTTATGATAACCACCGTGCCACCAGGGCTCCTAAGAGGATGGGCGTCTGAAGTATTCATTTCAGAAGGCACCCTTAGTTCCTGGGCTGGATTGCAGGATTGATTGATTGGTTGTGTTCCCTGATTCACTTGTAACCCAGAGTGCAGGTATTTTACTTGGGAGCTTCACAGCCAACGTACTCACTCCCAATGAGAAGAAGCAAGGGGAGCTTCCAGCCAGAAGGTACAACCAGCGAGGAGGAGACCACCCAGTGCAAAAACAGGCCGTCCCTGTGGGGTCCGGTTTGAAATACAGAGACCACGTACTTTTGACTTTGGAATTTACACTGGAGCAAATCACATATAGAGGTTTCACATTGGCTCGGGTGTCCCGGTAACCATGGGAAACAAAGATTGACCAGGAGTAGGCAAACAACAATGTTTGTTAAGTCTCTGGCCAGTCTCAGGATGTCTTTGTTGACTAACTCGATAGCAGAGCCCAGCTTTCCATCACTAACAGAGATGTCAATACGGCGGAGAAGCTCAGCATCATCCAGACCTTTTCAGTGATTTCTGCATCCAACCTGTCTGCACTGAAGAAGGTAGTGAGCTATAAAAATCTCATACAGACTGCATTAAGTACCTTAGGCAAACGGGCCTTTTTAAAAAAAAGGAATCAATCCATGTGTTTTTTTCCTCCAGGAAAATCACCTGATGAGACTGGCATTTGAATTATACTCTCCAAAGCCACCTTTGGAAGATGCCCACACGCATTTCATGATCTGTATCTTCCAACATTTGTTCCACTCGTGACAATGTCCCACTTAACATGGTCCCTTGAGTAAATCCCTTGACCACTTGAACCCACATCAGAAAGAATTACTAAACAACTTTGAGGGGCGTTAACAAATGCAGACATCTGACTATATATAAAGCTAAAGACCAGAAATAGGGAGCTGATATCAGGGGCCCAAGTGGGAAGAGAATGCTTTGAAAATGATGATGGCCATATATGTGCAAATGTGCTCGACACACTGGATGAATGTATGGATTGTGATATGAGATGTAAGAGCCCCCAATAAAAGCATTTAATACACATTTTAGAAATTTATGTGCTGACCCCTGCGATTTCCCCAAATGTGGGAAACACAACTGCATAATTTGTGGTAGAGGGGGACTGCATTCGCGCTCCCCCCTATTTAAAAAAAATTTTTTTTAAATCCAAATGCTACAAATAAAAAACAAACTAAACATGTCCTTTGCACATCAAAAACACACACGTTTAAACCAATATACCAACAAGAGACAGCAAACAAATGAAGGAGACATAGGACAGGTGCTCTTGACATCGAGCTGGGAAACAAGACCTCTTCATTCAGAAAAGCGTCCATTTAATCTGCGATAGTAGAGAAAAAGCTTTCTGGTGTCTTAGGGTGTTCGGACAGTGGAAAAACTGATTCCAGGAGGAGATGACACCGTGTCTTACCCTCCATAGTTTGGAAACGAGTATTGACGATATCCAGGCTAACTGCATTTTGTCAGGGGGGATTTTTCTAACTACACTAAGAACCATCACTTGTGTTACACACAGGTCGCTAGGCCTTGCCTGTTCCGATGTTTGGAACGGGCCTTGGCACCGAAGCAGAACCCGCTCTTTTGGCAAGCCATCACGTTTAGGAGTGACCACGGGGCCTTTCTTCCCAGGTGTCTGGATGGATTCCAGGGCAGTGTGCCACCCAGTCGACGCCACCCAGACTCTGCACGTCCTGGTGCTGTACCAGGACCCGTTAAAAAAAAAACAACCTTGCTGTCCAGTCTACTCCACCTCATAGCGACCCGTCAGCCACGTTCGTATAATTTCAAGAATCAGGAGGCAAGTACTGCAAACCCCTTCATGCCTTGCAGCCGCTCGGACTACAACTCCCATGGTGCTCGGCGGGCCGACCGGTGTAGGTGCACGCACGTCCCAGCATGCCTCGCTTAGAGCCCACCAATTGGATGCCGGCGTGCGGGGCCTGGGCAGCCAATCGTTCCGTCAGCGGGGCGGGAGAGGGGCGTGGTCACGTCCGGCCCCGCCCCTGCCCCGTGGCTAGTTTCCTTGGGCTGGCCCCTGCGGCTGGACTGGAAAACATGGGCGCTACCTGGCGGCACCCTGGCTGGGCGCGGCTCGCGCTCTGCCTCGCGGGCCTCGTGGTGTCTGTCTACGCGCTGCACGTGAAGGCGGCGCGCGCCCGGGACCCGCATTACCGTGCGCTCTGCGACGTGGGCACCGCCATCAGCTGTTCGCGCGTCTTCTCCTCCAGGTGCGCGCGCGGGAGTGGAAGGCGTAGGCGCTAGCGATCGGGCTGCCAGTGGGAGCGATGCGTCGGGGCCAGGGGTGCCTGGAGGCCGGGCTGTTCGAGGGGGGCGCTGCCTGGCACACCGCGTGTGCTCAGGAGGCTGGGCCTCCGGAAAACGTAGTGTCCGCGGCAGGGAAGCGGAGGTTGCTGGTAACTGAATTCTTGTGGATCAGAAGATGAGTTAACAGGGCTGGGAAGGCAGGTAGAGTAAGAGGAGTGCGTGCGTGGGGACCGGACAGGACTTGAGGGAGGATGGTGCCTGGGATCTGAGGATGGCCAGGGCATTGGGAGGCCGAGTTTGGCCGTGCTCTGGCGGAAGGGCCCGACAGAGCTGGGAGGGGGCCACCGTAAGCAGCATGGAGATTGGGGGAGGGCAGATTCCAGGTCACAGTGACACGCCCCCACATCCTCACCCCAAATCCCAGTCCTTGGTCACTGGATAAAGCCGAGCCAACCGTTACTGCTGCCTTGCCACTTGGAGAATGTCCTTAAAGTCGAAGATGAAACGTTGTAAACCCCCGCCTAACTTACAATAAACATTGGTTGGTTGTTTTGTTTTTTCCCAAAGTCTAAGAGGAAAGCAGGGGCCTACGGAGGCTCCACGGCCTGGTCTGGCCCGGAGGATAGGGGCAGTGACAAGTGACCCTGACCCCAGGTGGTCATCTACCTTTGGACTCACTGGGGTGGGAGTGGGGAGGGACAGCCTTGGCGCCAGGTGGACACCTCTAACCTGGTCCCCTCTCTCCAGGTGGGGGAAGGGCTTTGGGCTGGTGGAGCACGTGCTGGGACCCGACAGTGTCCTCAATCAGTCCAACAGCTTATTCGGTTGCATCTTCTATACGCTACAGCTCCTGTTAGGTGAGTGCTCCCCAGACACCCCCCCCCCTTCCCTCCTGGCCAGCCCCGCCCCATCAGGCAGCTGGGAGAGGAGGGGAACCAGCAGGGGGTCTTTCATTTGCTATAGGGTCTGTGAGACTCCAGTTTTATGGGAAAGACTCAGAGTTATTCCTTCAAGGGAGATTTCTTCCCCTGTAGGCTTCAATGCCTCGGGAGAAAGACCCAGGCTTACGACTCACATAAAAGAGTTACAGTAAAAAAAAAAAAGTTACAGTCTAGGAAACTCACCATGGGGGGTGGGGGCCACGGGCCACAGTTCCACCCATCCTATAGGGGGCTGTGAGTCAGAATGGAATCATCTGGATGGGAGTGGGTTTTAACAAGAAATTCGGGATGTGGGCCCCAAGGCCAGGGAGACCCTCCTGTCTCCAGAGGCCTGTCCCTGTGGTCTGGGCTGGGTGGCACTTGGAAGCCTTGGCAGGCAGCTAGAGGAGGCCCATCCCTGAAGCGTCAGGCCCGACCTCTCCTCTGGCTCACAGGCTGCGTCCACGGCCACTGGGCCTCCCGCCTGCTGGTGCTGAGCTCCCTGGTGTCTCTGGCTGGTTCTCTCTACCTGGCCTGGATCCTCTTCTTCGTCCTCTATGATTTCTGCATCGTTTGCATCACCTCCTACGCCATCAATGTGGGCCTGACTGTGCTCAGCTTCCGTGGGGCCCAGAGAGCCCGGGGCAAGGTCAAGGGGCAGTGAGTTGCTACCAGAAGCCGCCAAGATGGCCATGCCTGCATCCCTAGAGAGCCCTGCAGTGTGACCCCCACCGAACCGCCACACAGGACAAGGGGCCAAATGTGCCATCCTCCTGTCCCCACCGAGTGCCTCTAGCCCATCCTCAAAGACTGCTCTCCAAAGATCTGCTGCTGCCCTGGGGGGTGGGGGGTGGGAGTGGGGTTCTGAGCAATAAAATTTCTTAAACTGACCAAGTTCTGAGCCATGTGGTTGCCATGGTCCCCAGCTTGGGCAGCCCTCCTCTGGAGCTGGGAAGGATGAGTCAGAGTGGGGGGCGGAGGGGAAGGGTGTTTAGTCCTATCACTAAAGTGTGGAGTCAGCAAGGCCTGGGGCGCAGGTGGCTCCCACCCCCAGAAAGCAAGCCGATGGATGATAGCTGGTCCCTACTGCCACTGGGAGAGCCAGACATCTACCTGCCAGGACAAGCTGCTCTTCTGGTTCTGAGCATGCTGGCTGGGAAGTTCTTCCGAGCGTCTGACATTTCCGGCTGCCTTGACCTGTCACCTTGGACCAGTCTTGGTAGCTCTGGAAGGCTAGATGTTAGTTTTATCTCATCTTTCCTAATTGGTCTGGAAGCATTTGCCCACATGTCTGGCACTGCTTCAGAATCTGACATATATTGACTCATTTAATTCTTTCAGCAATTGTCCAAGGTAAGTACTGTCATTATCCCTATCTTGCCTGAGGAAACAGGTGCGGAGAGACTAGGTAACTCACCCAGGAACACAGCTCAGGCTCTGAGGTCCCCCGTGTTGTCCTCGTCGTCATCCCCCCACCCCACCAGGCACCTCGCTCCAGCCCCTCTCTTGACTCTGTCCCATAGCTCCCTCTCTGCATTGGGTCAGGTTCCCGTGGGCCTGCTGGCCTGAGTGAGGAGTCAGGTGAAAAGGATGTGCCCTGAGCCACCTCCCTTGTGACAGGGATTCTTCCAGCTCCTTTGAGTGAGGACAGACCCCACTGGACTGGTTGGAGAGGAGGGGGCAGGCTCAGAGAAGGGGCTGAGTTCACCAACACCTCCCAGCCAGCCAGGAGCAGAGCTCCTGGCCTCTAGGCATTCAGCCTCTCTCACGCGTACTCACACACACACACACACACACACTGCCCCTGTGGCAAAGATGGAAGAAGGTGGGGAGGCTGAGATTCAAGGACGAGAACTCAGGCCTGCCCTCGACACCGGCCTCCCTGCTGATGCTCCATTCTCAGGGTCTCTGTGCAGAGAAGCCACAGACAGACACAAGCCCTAAGTGACAGCACTGAGATTTGAACCCAGGCAGTCTGTCTCCACACCTGAGGCCCAGAGAGGAGTGGTGACCCATCCAGGGTCACACAGCCACAGCCCAGGGCTAGGAGCTGCTGGCTCCCTTCCCTCCCAGGAAAAGCAGTGACTCCTCACTGGCTGGAGGCGGAGCAAGGGTGGAGCCAGGAGACCCAGGCAGCCTCAACAGGGGCACCGCCAGCAGAGCAGCCTGGAGCAGCATGAGGCCGAGCTGGGGACCTGCGCTGCTGCTCCTGGACCTGGTGGTCCTCGTAGGGGGTGAGCCAGTGTGTGTGTGCTGGGGGCTGAGATGGTGTGGTGGGGCTCCGGGGCCACCTGTCCCTGCAGCCCCTGCAGCGGTGTCCTTGAGGGGGACCTGCCTGGAAGCTGTTCACTGGACGTGGGGAGTCAGTATCTGTCCAAATGGGTGTGATTTTCTTGGGAGTGGCTCACAGCCCGTGTGGGGACATGATTGTGTCAGTGTCCCGTTCTCTGTGTGCGGGCTGGTGCCATTGCGCCTGGCTGCCTCTACTTTTGGAGGGGCCTCATTCTCCCTCTTGACATCTCTCCCCCCGGAAATGAGATCTCAAGGGTGAGCTGTTGTGTGGGCTTGCTCCTGAGGGGGAGGAGGCAGGGCAGGACAGGGGGCTCTTGTGAAGGGTGGACAGCTTCAGAGAAGTGGCGGGTAGCTTCGGAGGCATTCGAGCATGGGTGAGGCAAGTCTCTGGGGGCTCTCTCCCACTAGAAGGTTGCCAGAGGACAGTTAGGCTAATGCTCTAGAATACCTGCTGGGGCTGGCTGCCCGACCTGACTCAGCAGTGGGGGTAAGACTGGGCAGGGGAGGGGGTGTCTGGAGCCTGGGGGAGGGCTGAAGGCTGGCCTGGGCAGACTCACGCCCCCCCCCAACTCCCCACCCCCGCCCCCAGCCCTGCTTGCTCCAAGGGCCTGGGAGTGCTGAGCACAGCGACAGCAGGATAATTAATTACCGAGTCAACACTCTGAATAGCTTCCAATAAAAGCTGTTTCCCCACCTCATATAAATATTTTCATCCTGGGAGGGGCTGGTGTGAGGTAGTCACAGGCAAGGACCTGGCCCCCCCCCCCCTCCCGTGTGTCTCTCTCCCCTCAGGTCTTCAAGGGACTCAGCGGGGTAAGCCCCCGGGGGGATGTGGGGCCTGGCCCTTCCTTGCTGGGCCCCAGGTGGAGGGGAGGACAGAGGCTGTCGCCATGGCCCCGCTCCCCCCCACCCCCTCCACAGCCTGTGGGCAGCGTGGCCCTGGGCCGCCCGAGCCTCAGGAGGGCAGCACAGTGTCAGGCGAGTGGCCGTGGCAGGCCAGCGTGCGGCAGCAAGGGCTGCACGTCTGCAGCGGCTCCCTGGTGGCAGACGGCTGGGTCCTCACCGCTGCCCACTGCTTTGAAAAGTGAGTCATGACTGGGGTCAGACAGGGTTTCGGCTGCAGCGTGAGTGACTCCCCGCAACAATAAAAATACCATGGGGAAGAATCAGGCCGCCCCAGTGGCAGCAGGGGATATGGGGACAATCCGCCCAGTGCCGCGAAGGTATCCTCTGGCCGTGCGGACAGGCTCTCGTAGATGCTTTGCAGACGAGAATACTAAGGTTGAGCCAGGGGCACCCACTGAAGAGATTCTGACTCACAGCAACCCTAAGGGCAGAGTAGGACGGCTTGCTTGGCGTTTCCGAGGCGGGAACTCTACGGGAGCAGCCAGCCTCAACTGTCTCCTGCGGAGTGGCCGGTGGGTTTGAACCGCCCACCTTCCTTAAAGCCACAGGCTGGTTTTTGTTTGCCTTTCACCTCCCTTCAATCTCCTGTGGTGTCACTTGCCCCAACTTCCCTTGCACTGAGCCTTGCCCCTCCCCTTCCAGGGTGGCAGCAACAGAGCTCGACTCCTGGTCAGTTGTCCTGGGCTCTCTGCAGCGGGAGGGCCTGAGCCCAGGGGCTGAGGAGGTACCCGTGGCTGCGCTGCAGCTGCCCAGGGCCTATAACCACTACAGCCAGGGTTCAGACCTGGCCCTGCTGCGGCTCGCCCGGCCCACAGCCCACACACCCCTCTGCCTGCCTCAGCCCACTCACCACTTCCCCTTTGGGACCTCTTGCTGGGCCACTGGCTGGAACCAAGACACCGATGATCGTAAGTGCTGTCCCCGACCAGAGCCTAGAGAGGCATCTGCTTGCCCAAGGTCACACAGCTCCCTACCTGTCCAGTTCCTGAATCTCCTCCTCCTTCCCTCTCCTGCCTGGGGCACAGACCTCAGCCTCAACCCTTGTCTCTCATCAGCTCCCAGGACCCTGCGGAATTTGCGCCTACGTCTCATCAGCCGCCCCACGTGTAACTGCCTCTACAACAGGCTGCATCAGCGGCCGCTGGCCAGCCCAGCCCGACCTGGCATGCTGTGTGGGGGTGCCCAGCCTGGGGTACAGGGGCCCTGTCAGGTCTGAGGGGAGCAGAGGGGTGGGAGCTTAGTCTGGGACTAGGGGCTCCATCTGGGACTGAGGCGGGGCAGGGGGCAAGGCAGGCTGCGGTCAGAGGAAGTCTGTTTGGGCTGGGACTCAGGCGTCTGCCCTTGGCTCCACTGCTCGACTCCAGGGGGACTCGGGGGGCCCTGTGATGTGCCACGAGCCTGATGGGCACTGGGTCCAGGCTGGCATCATCAGTTTCGCATCAAGCTGTGCCCGGGAAGACACGCCAGTGCTGCTGACGGACTTGACTGCCCACAGTGCCTGGCTGCAGGCTCAAGCCCACGGGGCTGCCTTCCCAGCTCAGAGCCCAGACACCCCGGTGATCAGTGATGAGGACAGCTGTGTAGGTAGGCGCAGGGAGCAGTCGGGATGGGAAGGATGGGGGTGCCCGGGTTGGGTGATTCCTTCTGGGGAAGAGTGATGCAAGGGCTTCACACCTGCGGGGGAGCGTTTAAGGCCCCATCTGGTCCTTCCAGAAGGCCTTGGACTTTGGGGGAATTTATGGGTTTGGAATTCCAGTAGGAAGCCGGATCTCAGAGGTCAGATGTTGGTTTGGGAGGGAAGCTATAAGCTTCCACATCGTTGGGGGCCCAGTGAGATTGGTTAAGGCAGGGGGGACTCCCGTTCAGAATTCCGGAATTCTGTGACTAACATGCAAATCTCATGCAAAATCATTGCTACCGAGGAAGAGGCATCTTGCAAGTGAGAAGCACCTGAGAGCCATGAATCCTTGGGCCAATTCAGGCCAGATTGGGTGCAGACAGGTGGGGAGGAATGAGCAGGGCCATGCCCAGGAGGCTGGGGCAGGAGGGCTGTCAGACCATGGGGCTTAAAGCGCTGGCCCTGACTTATGAGTTGGCTACTTGCCTGTGGTTACAGAGCTAGAAAATCCCTTCTCTGTACCTTGCTTTCATCTGCCACGTCAGAGATGCAGCTTTTACCTGGCAAGGGTTTGATAGCACATAGGAAGGGCTTACTGGCATGCCTGGCCACAACACGCAGGATCAAGAGACCTGGTGATGTCACCTCTTTTTCAGCTTGTGGGTCCCTGAGGGGAGAAGGCCCACAGGCTGGCGGCCCCTCCCCGTGGCCCTGGGATGCCTGGCTGAAGCACCAAGGGACACTGGCCTGTGGCGGAGCCCTGGTTTCAGAGGTGGTGGTGCTGACGGCTGCCCACTGCTTCATTGGGTGAGCCCCATGCCCATGCCACTCCTATCGCTGCCACCTGCTCCCATGGGCAGCCCTGCCACTCAGTGCCGCCAACCCTGCCTCTGCCCAGACGCCAGGGCGCAGAGGAGTGGAGTGTGAGGCTGGGAGCTGAACCGGAGGAGCGTGGACTCAAACAGCTCATCCTGCACGGGGCCTATACCCACCCAGAGGGGGGACACGACGTGGCTCTCCTGTTACTGGCCCAGCCCGTGACCCTGGGCCCCAGCCTTCGGCCCCTCTGCCTGCCCTATGCTGACCACCACCTGCCTGATGGGGCACGCGGCTGGGCTCTGGGGCTGGCTCACCGAGCAGGAGGAGGTAGGTAGGGCCAGGGCCAGCGGTCGCTGTCCGTCCAGCCTCAAGGTCACCAAGCAAGCGAGCTGCCCTTTCCCATGCTCTGCAGGTATCAGACCCCGACAGACAGTGCCAGTGACCCTGCTGGGGCCGAGGGCCTGTGGCCGCCTGCATGCAGCCCCTGGAGGTGATGGCGTCCCCATTCAGCCAGGGATGGTGTGTAGCAGTGTGGTGGGTGAGCTGCCCCGCTGCGAGGTGAGCCCCAGCACCCCCATCCCCTCAAACTCCTGGTGACCCTCACCTTCGTGAAGAGACCAGCTGCCATGGGAGGCTTCCAGCCCTGCCTTCTCACCTGAAACTAGGTGTCCTGCCAGGGGCCCAAATGGGCTTCTGTCTCCCTCTACCATGGGGGTGGGGGGGCACGGGCAGCTGAGACCAGGGGTGAGCTTCATCTCATCCCTGCCAGGGCCTGTCTGGGGCACCGCTGGTGCTTGAGGTGAGGGGCACGTGGTTCCTGGCTGGGCTACACAGCTTTGGAGATGCTTGTCATGGCCCCGTGCGCCCCGCTGTCTTCACGGCACTTCCGGCCTACGAGGACTGGGTCAGCAGCTTAGACTGGCAGGTCTACTTTGCCGAGGAGCCGGAGCTGGAGCCGGAGCCTGAGCCCGGAAGCTGCCTGGCCAACATGAGTATGTGGGTGTGGGGCCTCCCCACCAAGCCCCCCTCTCCATCTGGGTCGGTGGCTGTTCCGTCCCACCTCTGGCCACTCAATGCTATGGGTCTCGGGAGTGGCAGCACCTTCCTCATCCCTGAAGGGAGGAGGCCAACCCTGCCCATGTCCTTGTCTTGACAGGCTGCTGACAGGCGGCTTTGGGCTGATTGCGGGCTGCCCTGCACTCACCATGGTCATGCCTGCCTGCCCTCTCGGTGCCTCTCACCCGAGTGTGTGACTGATGCAGAGCCAGTAGCCCAGACTTCTGGGAAGAAACCTGCCCAGGACGGGCCTCTGCCCCCACCCTCCACCAGCCCCCCTGGGGAGCATTCGTCCCTGCAGGACAGGGAGATGTCTTTCTCCACCCTGCTCCCTCCATCGGATGCAGGCATCCACAACCGACCCTCCCCATCCAGGCCCCAGAGAACCCAGCAGCCAGGTGTTTTGAAAATTTCGGGGCTTTTTTTTCCCGTTTGTTTTTTTTTCCACTGGGGTGGGTGTGTAGGGGGGAGCAATTCTCCTTTTCTTAAACTTAAATAAAGTGTTACAAAATAGACTTTAGAAAATAAGTTACAAATTCTAGCAAAAGGCTCCCCTTCTATGGGCAACGGCTCCCCGAAGCCCCTGGCCCTCCCTGGGGATGGAATCTGGCTGGAGGTGCCGGCCCAGGTCCTAGGCAGAGCAGGGTGCCAGGCTTCTTGCAGGGCTGAGCATGGTAACGGGCTGGAGTTAGGGAAAGGCCCTTCAAGGGCAGGGACCCAAGAGATATCCCCCCCGCCCCCCACCCCACCTTTCCTTGGAAAAGCAGCCAGAGGTGAGCTGGGTCCACATCGCATAGGGAGGGGAGGTAAGCAGTCTGTAGACCCAAACTCCTCCTGAGAAACACGGAGCTCGCCCCCCCACCCCACCCCCTAGTCTGCTCTTTGGAGACTGGGAGTTCAGAGGGTGAAGCTGAGGTCTGCAGGCCACTGGGGTGAAGGGTCCAGGAGTGGAGTCGGGGTAGGTGGAGGGGGAAATGCCGAGTCCCCTCTGCCTGCCGCTGGCGCCGCTGGAGCTCCTGGTGGGGAGGGAGAGAGAGGTCACTGACTGAGGGGGCGCATCCCGCACACCCTGTAACACCTTCCACCCCAAACACCTGGGACCACCAGTCATGTCCCCAGACTCCTCACCACAGCCATCCAAGGCTCAGTAACTCCAGAGGGCAGAGAGCTGCCTCTGTGGGCTTCTGAGCAGACAGGTTCCTCCCAAGGAGTGGCTGGCTGGCTGGCAGGTGGGTTCAAACCACTGATCTTAAGGCTAGTGGCTATACACACACACACACCCTCCCCCCAATGACAGCACCAAGGGTAAATGGCTCCTCGTCCTCATTCTTGTGACTCATAAGAGGTCGAGATGCTAAAAGCCATCATCCCTTCAGCCTCTCGGGAACCTTGCCCACCCTCTCCACCTGCCTCAGGTCCAGAGCTCACCACCCCGCTCACCTACTCTTGGCTGCCACGCTAAATGTCATGAACAGGGCCTGTGATCTGGAGGAGATGAGAGGTCACAGGGTCTGCCGAGAGAACTGGCTGTCCCACTCCTCAATAGCCATTACCAGTGGCCAAGACACAGCCTCCGGACAGGACTGGGCTGGGCGGAGGTGATGGTGCAGGCAGATCGCCCTCTGATAGAGAGGGTGCAGATAGGCTAGGTGCTAACGACTATTGTTGCTACAGCTGGGTCTAGTTTCAAAGAAACAATTATGTGTGACTCAGGCGGCCAGGCAAAGGAGGGCTTGGAGCAGGGCGGGAGTCTCCTAGGTGGAAAGGGTGGTTTGGTTGGATCCTAAAAGGCAGGGTGGGTGGAGAAAAGTGTTTGAATAAAAGGAAGATGAGATGGGGAGCCAGGAGGAAAGAGCGGAGACGGTACATGGGGAAAGAGGCACTGGGAGCTGGGTGCCAATCCCTGACCCAGTTTCCGCAGTCGAGTCACCCGCCGAGAAGCCCTAAAGCCAGCCAGTCTGGACGGGGACGCTCCCTGTCACTCATTCCCTGGCGGCTCATCTTGGAAGAGATGGAGACCAAAACCATCAGCTTCATCCTGTCCTCTGTGCATAATCCCTTCCAGACGTGGCTGTCAGGTGTTCCCTGGTCAACACGCCTTTGGCCTTGGACCAAGGCGTGGGGCCCTGGCAGCTGCCGCCTCTTGACAACCGACCCAATAGACCATCTCCCTGCCTGGTGGGGGTTTCAGGTCTCAGGTAGCAATGCCAACTAGCTCCTCCCTGGCCCACTCCCTCGGCTCCATGTGGCCCTCCTGCTCCCCGCAGCCCTTGCTTCCCCTGCCCACCCTGGGGACAGATTTTGCCCTCTGCTGTGGGCACCCACTACCGAGGCCTCTGCCATCAAGCGTCTGCCTGAGTCCACCATGCCCCAATCTGGGAGCCAGCCACTGTTCATTCCTGCTGGGGCCACAGGCAGATTTGGGGGTGTGGGGTGGGGGTAAGTGAAGGGCCCCTCCATAGGTGTCTGGACCCACCCTGCCTGGCAGCTGTCCAGAAGAGCTTGCACTGTCCAGACAGTGCAGCAGTGGAGGAGCTTGGGGTCAGAGCGGGTTCTTGAGGGGGGAGTGGGTTGGGTGGATGTTAGGGCAGAGGGAGTTGGGACAGGCTTGGTGTGACCCTTCTGGTGGCTCAACAGGCTGCCGTCGTGGGCAGGCACGCCCTTGTCTTCAGCTGCTGTGAACTTATTTCCTGTCCTCCACCAGCTCTCCCACCACCCTCTCAGGAGCCCTGGAAGGTGTGGATGAGGGTCTCCTGAGCTTTCCTTTGACCAAGGAGACTTCCCTGGCCCTGCCATCCCAGTTGGGGATCCCCGCCTCCTCAGTCTGAAGTGGCACCTGCCTGAGGCCCCTGGCATGAGTTTGCAGATGGCTGGCTAGTTCATGTTGGGACTGAAAAGCCTTGCCGTCGGGCAGGTTCAGACCCGAACAGCTATGTGGCTGTGGTGGCAGCTGTAGCTCCTGGTGGCCACAGGGCGCAACGCTTCCTGGGAGCAGGGCTGACAAGGGTGGCAGTGGGTGCTGTGAGGAAGCTTAAGAGGCTCCCTGCCTGGCAGTGGGTCTGGCCACAAATGGTTGTGGGAAAGGGGCAGTCCCCTGGCTGAAGCTGAGAGCTGATGTCGCCAATGCCTCACCAACCACTCCCCTGAGCTGGCTGTGGCCAAGGTGGCCAGGGGTCCTGGGGACATTGTTCCCTGAGTCTTTTGGATTGGTCAGTGCCTGGCCCTGAGGAACCAACCTCCAGTGTGAACCAATGACCCCTTGCCCACTGGCCATCCACCTGCCTTGTCCGTGGCCCCCCCTGGAGCGGCTCTGTGGCTTCTGAATGGGCTGCCCTGGTGGGGCTCTGCCCATGCTCACCTGGCCTCGTGGTACCATCCTTCAGCTCAGGCATGGTCTCATCACCACATGATCGGCCCTTGGCTGCCTGGCCAGTGGCCATGTTCCCCTCACTGCCCCCCGCGCCATTTGGGCCTCCCTGGCCACTGGCCAGCTCCCTCTGGGTCTCCTCGTGCTCCCGCAGGTGTTGTTCCAAAGAGCCCCTGCTAGGGAAGTCCCAGCCACAGAGGGCACAGCGCACAGCTGCCCGCCAGGGCCACCCTGCCTGCCGCTGCCGCCGCCGGCTCTCCAAGCGCAGCCTCTGGTGGTCCATTAGCGCCATGCAGTTGGAGGTGGTATTGGGGCAGGTGGGGCCGCTGGGCTGGTCGGTCTTGTGGCTGCGCCGGTGGTTCACGAGGCTTCTGGCGTGGCGATAGGCACGCCCACACTGCCCACAGCCGAAGGGCAGGTCCTCCGGAGTGGCCTTTCTGCAGCCCCCGCCCCCACGCCGCTCAGCATGGACGCGCAGGTGGCCCGCCAGCTGCTTCCGCAGGCGGAAGGCCTTTCCGCACTCACCGCAGCGGAAGCGCCGGGGATCCGTGTGGATGCGCCGATGGTTCTTGAGGGACATGAGGTTGGAGAAGCCCTTGGAGCAGGCCTGGCAGCCGAAGTTGCCAGTCTGGTGGCTCTGCCGGTGATTGATGAGGCTGCCCACGTGCTTGTAGGAGCGGCCACACACGTCGCAGCTGAAGGGCCGCTGCTCGGCGCTGCCTTCAGCAGGGCCGCCCTGCTCCGGGGTCTCCAGCCAGGGCCCCGCCCCCTCCTCTTCCTCCTCCTTGACAATGGTCTCCTCCCAGGCCTCCTCCTGGACCTTTGCCACTTCCTCGGGGGGCTCCTCTTTCAGGGGCTTCACCACCTCGGCCTGCCCCGGCCCCTGCTCCGCGGGCTGCGGGGGCTCGCAGCTGCCAGCCGCCTCCGGGAGGGGCCCCACCTGGGGCTGGGAGCCTTTGCAGCGGGGGTGGTTCCGCCGGTGGTTCCGGTAGGCACCCAGGTTGGGGTAGCAGCGGGCGCAGACCGGGCAGGTGAAGAGGCCCGTCTGGTGGACCTTGCGGTGGTTCACCAGGCTGCCGCCGTGGCGGTACGTCTTCCCGCACTGGGCGCAGCGGAAGGGCCGGGGCTGCGCCGCCGGGCCCGGCTCGCCACCCGGCTCGCCAAGGCGGTCTGCGGCGGCACCTCCTCCCGCTCCAGCCTTCGCGTCTGCACCCTCCCCAGAGGCTGCGGTCACCGTGCCCTCACAGCCACCATCCGTGACCATCTCTGTGCCATTACCTGACTCTCCCGAGGGGCTGGGCGCCTTGTCTATGGCGTTCCCAAAGCCGCCACCCAGACTCTGGTGGTGGCGCTGCAGGCTCCCCAGGTCATCATAGGTCTGACCGCAGCAGCCACAGATGTGGCCGTACCCGGCGCCGTCCAGGGCCTCCACCTCCCGCTGCAGCTGGTTTAGCAGCTCGGCCTCCGAGAGCTGGAGCGGAGGGCTTCGGGCGGAGGCCGCCTCCGCGGCTCCTTCCTCCCCGTCCTCTTCCTCCTCCTCGCCCTCCATCGTGCCCGAGCAGCTGTGGGCCTGGCGCCGGTGCAGCCGGTAGCCTGCCCGCCCCGGGAAGATCATGCCGCAGAGGCAGCAGAGGAAAGGCTGGGCGGGGCTCGCCTCCCCGGGCCCGTGGTTCCGGAAGTGGCTGCGCAGGGCAGGCAGAGAGTCGAACTCCTTCGGGCAGAGGGAGCACTGGTAGATGCCCGGCGGGTGGCAGGGCCGGTGGCTCAGCAAGCCAGTGGCATGAGGGAAAGAATGGCCGCAGTCGGAGCATGTGAGGGAAGCCTCGGCCTGCCAGCCAGGGGCAGCTTCTGCAGCGTGGGGCGAGGGGCTAGGGAGGTCAGTGGCTGGTTTCTGGTCTTCTGCCCCTGGGAGGCTGCCGCAGAAGAGGGACCCACGACCGCCCTCAGCTTCTGGGATGGCCACGTGGTCCACAAAGCAGCGCCCCCGTCTCTCCAGCCCCTCGGTGCCTCGGCCCTCTCTCTGACCCTGGAAGCAGGCCGCTTGCCTCTCCTGCCCGCACCTGTCGCCCTCGGATTCAGCGGGCACACAGTCGCCGTCACTCTCCAGGCTGCCTTCCGCCCCACTGGGGCTTTCTCTTGACAGGCCCTGGGGAAAATGGGGATGCGGGCTGCCTTCCACTATCTCCTGAGCCCAGTCTTCTTCCTCCTCCTCCTCCTCCTCCTCTTCCTCCTCCGCAGAGGCTGATGGGAGCTTGGCGCCGCCACCCCCGCCGGCGCTGCCAGCCCGCCTCTGGGGCCTCCTGCTCTGGCGCCGACTGTGCAGCCGCAGGTGGTTCTTCATGGCGGCCATGGTGTGGAAGTGCTTGGCGCACGCCCCACAGCTGAAGTCCCCCGTCTGGTGGGTCTGCCTGTGGTTGATCAGGCTGCCTGAGTGACGATAGCTCTTCCCACAGTCCTGGCAAGCAAAGGTCCGGGGAGGGGAAACCTGGGTCTCCGTCCGGTTGCTTTCCCTTTCCACAGCTGCGTGGGTCCGGCCGTGAAGCGCCAGGCTCTGGGGGTCATCAAAGAGCAGCCCACAGACAGTGCAGATCTGTGGGGCCGGCCCGGGCGCGGCTGGGGGGTGGGCAGCAGGGGCCGCTGCCTCCCGCTTGCACCAGGGCTCCTGCTGCGCGGGAGGGGCTGCCTCCGCCTCCATCTTGAGGTGGCTGGGGGGAGCCCCGGGCCCCGGGCCCCCACTGCGGCGGGCAGTCTTGCAGTGCACCCGCACGTGGTTCCGTAGGGCCATGAGGTTGGAGTACTTGCGGGGACAGAGCGAGCACTGGTACTCTCCCGTTCTGTGGGTATGGCGGTGGTTCACCAGGCTCCCCCGGTGACGGTAGGCTCGCCCACACTCGTGGCACTTATAAGGGCGGTCGTCCAGGGGGCTGGTGTCTTCTTCCTTCTTGGGCGTGAGGCCGGAGCCGGGCAACAGAGCTGACGGGCGCCGCCCCTCTCCGGGCCCTGGCCGGGGCCTGTGATGCGCCCGCACGTGGTTTTTCAGGGCCGCCGCGTTGAACAGTTGCTTGGAGCAGACGGAACACGGGTAGACGCCCGTCTGGTGGCTCTTGCGATGGTTGATGAGGCTCCCCGCGTGGCGGTAAGTGCGGCCACACTCCCCGCAGCGGAAAGGCCGGTATTCCTCCAGGCCACCGTCCTCTAGCTCCCCCGAGGCAAAGCGCTCCTGTGCGGAGATGCTGCTCAGAATCTGGGCCGTGGGGATCTGGTCCCGGCCGCTCTCGCCAACGTGCCCATTGGTCGTGGGCGCCCCCTTCTCTTCCCACGGCCGCTCTGGCTTTTCATCCTCATGCGAATGCTGGTGTTCCAGCAGCTCCAGGGGGAGCCGGAAGGCCCGCGGGCAGTGGGGACAGCGGTAAGGCCGGTACTGGGCATGGAGCCGGGAGTGGTTCTTCAGCGCCATGAGGTTGGAGAACTCCTTGAAGCAGATGGCACATGGGTAGATGCCGAGGGTGTGGCTCTGGCGGTGGTTGGTGAGGCTTCCGGCGTGCTTATAGGTCTTGTCACACTGGCTGCACTTGTAGCGCCGTTCCTCCTCGGCAGGAGGGGCCTGGGTGGGCTCCTGGCCCCCTGTGAAGTTCACCACTGACTCAGCCAAGTACTGTTCCAAATTGCTGAGGAGGCTGCTGGCTGGGGTGGGGAGCGGCGGGGCTCTGGCAGAGTTGGTGGGGGCTCCCCAATGCTTTGCACCCTCATCCGGAGCAGGCTGGCTTCCCCAGCCTTCCCTGTGTTGGGTGGAAGGATCCTCCCAGGGGCCTGGAAGAGCCCTGGGCTCAGGCCCTGACTCACAGCCTGGTGTCTCTTCGGTCTGTTTTGCCTGCTTTTCCCAGCTTTCCTCAGGTTCCAGCCTTTGGCTCCAAGAGTCATCAGACACCATCTCGCCTGGGAAACACGGGAGAGCATCCTTGGGGCGGGGAGGTCTGCGCCTGCGGCGACCCTCAGGAGTATGAGTCCTCATATGGCTTTTGAGGGCCACGGGATTGGTGCAGTCCTTGCCACAGGTGATGCAGGGGTAAAGGCCAGTCTCGTGGGTCCGGCGGTGGTTAACCAGGCTCCCTGCGTGGCGGTAGCCCCGTCCACACTGCTGACAGCGATAGGGCCGAGGGATGTGGTCAGCCTCCTCAGGCTCCGCGGTGGGAGATGGATGGAGCAGTTCTCGGTGGCGGGCCAGTTCTGGGAGGCTAGGAAAGTGGCGCTGACAGTCAGAGCAGCTGAGGGAGGTAGGCACGTCCTCCATGGGGCGGCGAGGCAGAAGCCTGGAGGTTCAGGGAGAGCAGGCGGGTGGCTGTAGCATCTTCCTCCAGTGAAGGGGCTGAGGCCTAGGAAGAAGGGGCAGTGATCAGAAGGCTGGCCAGAGTTACCATCGCCTCTCAGCTGTGCCACACAGTCACCAGGGGCTACAGAGAGGGCCCCTAAGTATCAAGGCCTGGGGACCAACTTTCTACTGGCCCTAGCCCAGAGACCCCACCACTGAAGGTATTCCTATACCAGAGAGCCCCCCCAAATGGGAGCTCCTCTAGAGCTGCAGACGAGGAACTGAAATCCTGAGAGGTGCAACTTTCTCCTCCTCACAGACTTATCAGCCTGATCTTCAGAATGGATACAAAGTCTCGTCTCTAACGTTTGTTCTAAAACAAAGAATTCAATCTTCCCTAAAAGGAAAGCAGACACCCTTAGACCTTTCAGTAAGAAAGACCAATTCTTCTTCCTTCCTCACTCAGCTAAAAGGAGAAAACACATAGTACCTGAAAGCCCTCAAAAAAGCTGCCTGTCACTTGGCTGGCTGAGGACCCACAAGAGGGGGCATTAAAGACCCCCTTCTTTGAAAGGGCTCCTCCTCCAGGTTCCCCCAGGCCTTTCAGCCTGAAGGCTCCTTTCCAAAGGGCTCTCTTGACCCACTCCCCTTCCCCTACTTTTCACTGAATTCCAACCACCAACCACTGTGGAATCCTATCCCCTTTCTGATTACTCTTCACCCCCTACCTCTTCTTCCTTATGTCTTTTCACCCTCCCCTCCTCCTCCTTTTCTTTGGTTTCCTCCACGCCTCTTAAATATTGATGACAACAACTCTTGCTAAGCATTACTCGGGGCAGGCTGGCAGGCACGCCACTACATCATTACCTAATCCTCAGTAATCTCAGTTTACCCGGAGCAAACCCACCGAGCCCCGCAGATTTCATCTCAATGTCCCTGTCTCTCTTCACGGCCGCCTCCCTCACTTTGTCCTTCTCCGACTCTGATCCTTCAATCCCAAGGGAGCCCATTATCAGTCCTACTTCCGACTCTAAACGCCCTCACCGAACCTGTCCCCTACTCCCATCTCACAAAGCACCTTCGTTCTGGCGTCTCCTCCCCTAGCCTCGAACCACCAAAGCCCTCTCTCCTAATTTTCTCTGCACATATCGTCTCAGGTACATCCCTCCTACCTCCCACCTCGCACGGCTGCCCCTTCTTTCCCGCAGCGGGCGTGTCCGTTGGGGACTGCGGGAGGCGGACAGGGGGACAGCAGACGGGCACGCGCCTGCGCACTGGGACCCTTACCCTAACTGCAGCCGCGCGCCCCAAGGGGTGGTCGTGGGGGGGCTCTCGAGCTCCCACGTACGCACTCGGACAGAGCTCCCCGGGAGATGCGAGAAAGGGAATAAAGAGCAGAGGAGCAGGAGGGAGAGGGGAGTGAAGGGATGAGGGTGCAGCTGGTACCAGCAGGAGTGTTCTCCCGAGCTCCGCAGACACTTCCTATTGTTACTAGGAAACAGGAAGTGTCCGGTTCGCAAAAGCTTCCCCGCGAAACCGCAGCCTTGGGAACACTTCCGGTCCCGCCTCCAAACAGCGGTCTCCGAAGACACACTTCCGGCGTTAGGGGGAATAAAGCAGGCAAACGCGGGTCCGGACCCGCCCACAGAGGTCACAGCGCTTCAGTTACACGCACTAACCTTAGCCACCCTTCCGGCGAGAATATCAAGTCGTTCCGTTGGCTATAGTGGGGAGAAAAAGGGAGCGCAGCAGTCCTGGCTTCAGTATCTTGGCAACACTTTTTTGCGGGGCTCCCTGCAAGGCTTTCCCCCAGACCGATGAGGGAAGCTTCGTTAAACTCACTTCTCGCTCTTAAAAGAGAGATGGGCTCTAAACGGATTTAAAGACTACAAAGCCTGAGCATAGCCTTCCTGTCCTCCCGCCTTCTCGTTCTTTGAGACATTTCCGGTGACCTGGCCTGAAGCTAGAGCAGTAGCCGATGTAGACCCATTGATCAGCCCGGTGTTCCTTGCCCTCAGCACCCAGAGCCCTGGCAAGATGTTTCCCGGCCACCATCGGCTGGGGGTGCTCCGATAAACCTTTCCTTCCTCCTCAGTCGGGAGAGCTCCCTTCCACTTCCGCTCGCCGGCTCCGCCCCTCCTTCCACCCGCCCCCTCCTCCCGCGGGGTCCTAGTGCCGGCCCCTCTGTGTGGCGGTGTCCCGGGCTCAGTCGGCGCGCGGAGCCACCGCCGACGTCGCGGGGTCAGCGCCAGTGCATTCAGGTAGGAAACGCTGGCGGGAAGCCACAGAGTCCGAGGCTGGCCCCAGCGCCGACCGGATCCGAGCCGGCCTCAGTTTCCCTGTGGGCGTCGAGGGCGGACACGGCCGGCAGGGCGCGGGCAACGCGGGCGGGCGGGCGGGGCGGGAGCAGAACGGGCCCCGGGCGGGCACGAGCGGGCGCTGGGCCCAATGGGTCCTAGAACCCGCCGGCTAGGCTCGCGGGCCAGGTGATGTGGGCACTGGGTCCCGGCCAGCAAGGCTGCCCGCCTTGGGCGGCGCGGACCCGGGGGTCCTAGAGCCCGTCCGGTTGCGGGCTTTTGTCCCTGCCGCGCGGCCGGCCCAGCCCGGTCCCCGGCGTCCACGGCCCCCCTCCCCCGCTGTGTTCCTGGCCGCCCCTCCCGCGGTCCTAGAGTACGCCATCTTGCAGGCCTTTGTCTTGCGTCCGGCCCTCCGTCCATTCATTTGTTCTTGCCTTCTTTCACCTTTCGTCCCTTGCTTTGTTCCCTGAGGCCACGTTTTCCGACGATTTATGCTGGAACAACACAGCTTGGGGCCCTGGCCTACGGGAGCTGCTTGGCGGGGGGCGAGGGGTGGGGCGGGCAGATGGGGGGGGCGACACGCAGAAGGTAGCAGCAGCTCAGGGGTAGGTCCAGTACTTCTTATCTGCACCTTAGGGTCCCTCTTCCGCGTGTCCCCTTGGCCTTAATACTCTTCAGACCTCCACAAGCCCCAGAGGTCACATTTTAACGACGAGGAAACATCCGCAGAGCTCTGTGAATCCCCTATTGTCCAGTGCCAAGCCAGTCAGCCCGGATACAATGAAAGACTTGTCCTGTGGGAGAAGCAAGCAAAGGCTCCCAAGGGACAGGAAACTATGTGAAGATGCATGGAGGTAGGGAAGTATGAGGGTGGTGGCTGGCGCTGAAGTCCCTGGTGGGAAGTGGGGGGCGGGGTGTGCTGCAGCCTGAGTTGAGGCTGGAAGAGTAGGTTGGGATCAGGTTGGGATCTGACCTAGACAGGTGGTTACAGCTCCCTTCCCCACGTTGCCCACCTCCCGAGCCCCCAACTCATCCCATCTGCACAGCCCGTGATTGGTGTCTTTGGGCTTAGGAATGGGGAGACGAGGTGCAGAAGGGATAATGCCAGGCCAAGCTCTCAGGCAGCTGTGTGCTGATTCAGGCGAAGGCAGAGACAAAGCTCCACTCAGGCCACGTTGGGACCCTGTAACTGAGAAAGGCAGAAAGTGCACTTAAGAATTCGCGACTGGGAGACAGCCTCCTCGGCTCCTTCCACTAATCCTATTACAGCCTGGCTTGGAATACTGACCGACCTTCAGTTTTCTGGGCCTCAATCTCCCTATCTGCCAAATGAGAACCATAATGTTTAACTTCTAGGCTTGGCTTGGGTGGGTCGGACCCATAAGATGCTTAGAATGGCACCTGGCCTGTGGTCAACTGGGAAGCCATGCTACCCAGAGAGGCACCCAAAGGGGGCTAGAGAGTGATTCGCTGGAAGAGGGGCCAGCTTCCAGAAAAGTGCTTCCAGGAGATGACAGGGCCAAGGGGAATTGTGGCTCCAGCTCAGGGAATTTCCAGTGCAAAGACCCTAATGAAACCCCAAGAAACAAACCCCTGACCCTTGCTCGAGTTGATTCAGACACATACTGAGCTAAAGGACAGAATAGAACTGCTCAGTAGTGTTTCCAAGACTGTAAATCATCCTGGGAGCAGAGAACCTCATCTTTCTTCCTGGGAGCAGCAGGGTGTTAACTTCTGACCATGTGGTTGGCAGCCAAGCACGGAACCCCCTGTACTACCAGCACTCCTTAAATGACGTGATCCAGCCACTGCCACAAAGCCCGTTCTGCCCTGTGGTGACCCTATACTAGGACCAGGCTCCATCTGTAAGGGAACAGACAGCCTCCTCTTTCTCCTGAGGTTGGAATCCTCTGGCACAGAATTTCCTAAAGTTCTTGAAGTAGGAAGGAATTAATTCTCTCTTTTTGGGGAGGGAGGGGGGCGCCTATGGGTGGGCCTAGTGAGTCAAGGAGAGAGGACTGGGTGGTGAGGTAGGCAGGAGTTAGGGTGAATCTGTTTGGGGCCTCCCTGGCTATGGAGAAGATCCTGGTGTTTGTGCTGGGAGCCTTAAGAAGTTTCGTGATTTGTCCAGTGAACCTGAGTGAAGGAAGACTGCAAGAGAAAGTCCAGCCCATGAACCTGAAGGCTTGTGTTTCAACTGGGCCTCTTGGGCTAGCTCTGTGACCCTGAGCACCGGTGTTCCACCTGCAGTGGCCTTGGCCTCTGCTTTTGTAAAGGCAGGGGGAGGTAAAAATGCCCTCCTCTGAAAGCGAACTGAGGGAGCAGTGTACCCAGCTTACCAAAGATAAACCAGGTCAATAAAAAGTACATGAGAACCAAAGGACCTGTTGGCAATTGCTGTGCCATATATGATTTTGAAACAACAGCAAAAAACACCAAAAATAGGTGCAGGTGTGTGTGTGT